AGTGGGGAAGAAGTGGTTTTGAGGTCTTTCATAGGGGAGGGACACCCGTCTCCCTTTGTCTCTCTTTTGCTTATGTTTTTGGCTCATAAGAGTAGCATGCATGCTTAGTTGTTTTTGGCACCATTGCAGTAGGTATTTGGTGATATTTGGTCATATTATACCTCTGTTTTTAGTTGGTTTGATGGTCTATTTCATGCATTATATGCTTGCCTTGTAATCTCATGTTTTGGCCTAACATGTATCATGTTGTGAGATGACATTTTAGCATGATTTTGGTTTGACTCCATGAAGCTTTTAGTCCTATTTCATCCTGTTTAAGGTCTGTCTTGGGTCTTTAGAGTCATGTTTGCCATGTTTTGTATAGCCCCTTTGCATTCTAGCTTGTAGGCCTTGAGTGTGAGAGCCATAAGCATGCTGTGGTTGGGTTATTTCAGTGACTTGGAGTCATTTCCCATGCTATTTCAGTTCATAATCCATGCTTGTATGCTTGCATTCATCATCCCTTTCATGCTTTGAAGAGTCGTTCTTTTGTGCCTTGAAATGCGTCATAGTGCATGCCTTTTGTTTAAGTCATTTGGGATGCCATTCATGTGGATTTTGGGGTGTATTTTGACGTACTAAAACTCTATTTTTGGTTGCATAATCCATGCCATGTGTGGTCGTGATAGTTGTAATGGAATGCTCCCTTTTATGCCTTAGTTTTAGGCCCATTGGTGTGCGTGTTTGCATGAGCATTTGTCCATCATTTTTAGTATGTTTGGCCACTGTTTTGGGGCATGGCTGAGGCCTCCCATTTCAGTTTAAGTCCATCCTTGTATATAAATTGCATGATTGACATGTTGCATTACATTGGTTGCATTGCATCATGTTTGCATGTTTGCATGTCTAGTTGCATTACATAGTCTTGTTGTATGCTTGACATGTTCATATTGCATTAGTTTGGCTTGCATGGTTAGGTAGTGTCATGAAGCATTAGCTTAGCATGCTCATATTGCATTGCATTAGTTGCATTACTTCGCATTGCATATAGCATATATACATAACATTGTGTTTGGTTTGGGGTGTCAAACCAAACACGAGGAGTGAGGTGTGTTCGTACTCAAAATGACGAAACACATCTCAATCCTCGGTCGCCGATGCCCTTGATCTCAACATGATAGGGCGTGAGGCATTCATTTGTTTTATTGCATGCATTTACATTAATTTGCAAGCTTGGTGCCTTTGGCCATCATGCGTCGAAATGCGTGACTAGTGGCTCGAGTACCAAGGGCCGCACTCCCTTGAGTCCATAACATGATGGGGAGTGTGGCCATGCATACATTGCTTTGAAATTTCCTTGCCATGCACTGTTTGTCTACTGCTGCAGCAAAAACAGGATTCTGCAGGAATAAATGGCCGGCCGGCCACTTTCAGTGCCGACCGACCATCAGAGTCCAGCCGATGACCCAATTTATGGTCGATGACCACATTTACATGGTCGGTGATGCTCTTCATTGGCCGATGGCATTCCAAAATGATCAGGGAAGGGTTCAGAGGTGCCTCAAGAATTTTCACATCCCTCAGAGGTGCAAAACAGTGCAAACAGAGGCAACCGTGGCATGGTAACGGGTTTCCAAGCAAGGCAAATCGAGCATGCATCATCTACGCATTCCGAGGCAGAGCTGCTGCGGTTTCTTTAGTTTCATATTTAGGCTGTTTTTGTAATTAATTTGTTAATTAATTAGAATTTTTGTAATAATTAACTAGCTAGGATAGTTGATTCATTATTTGGCCTGTATTATTCTTTTGGACCCTCCGAGCAAGGGCAATTGTGTAATAAGTGTGTGTGAGTGTGTGCATGTCTTCTAACCCCCACTTCTTTCTCCCTTTTATTTACCTGCTTTCAATGGTTAGTATTAGGGCATATTTAAATTAGTATACCTTATGCTATGCATGCGTGCATTCATTCATCTGTACTGCATGTACCGGGCTTGGCGCATCATACTAACTGCATGGTATTTCAATTCCCAGTTGAATACATGTTATCTGTTGCATTTCATATGCCATATTTAGAATAGCCGAGCCTATCTAGGTTGTATTTTTGCATGTGTTGCATTAAGCATTTCAGCATAGTTAGGATTCATGCATGTTTACTAACTAGTTTCTGTTTTGGCTTGGAGTACTCGGTAAGTTTTCATGCTTTAGCATCCTTGCATACGTATGAGTGTTGCCATAATAGCATGCTTTACCATAAGGCTATGTGCATATGTGATATAACTGCCTGAGTACCTGTGGGTGAATGTTAGGTTATTTGAATTGGAACGATGCATTGAATGTGAGTTTTAAGCCCACTCGAAAGTGGCAAAACCGTGTTTTCTAAACCCACTTATGGGTGGCAAAATCTACATTTTTAGCCTACTTGCGAGTAGCAAACCGCTTTCAAAAACAAACATGAGATGTTTTGTTCAAACTTAGACGACCCAGTCTATACTTGTATTCTGTGTGCATCACATAGTAAATCTAAGCTAATAACCGGAATAAGAGCATATAATGTTTTCAAAACTCGATATCATGGTTAGTAGAGGTCGATCTTTGATCGGGCGAGTGGGGGTGCTCATAGCTGACCTTCTCCAATCGTATCCAAGTTCCCGAGCCGAGGCAACTTTGGTGATGACGGACATGTAGCCTTAGGCAACGAGTCAAGGTTTTCTAAATTTTCCTAAAATAAATATTTAGGCGGCGACTCTGTATCTGGCAAAGCAGTCCATATTTGGCACTTCTTTCTAAAAAATTTATTTTCCAAAAATAATTTGCCGGATTTGGACTCTTTGATGATTCATCGGTCTTGCATTGCACTCTGGAAGATTAGACATAGGATCATGACATTGAGTCCGAACTGTAGTGAGCCCAAATGAACAAAACGGGATTTCCCTCCCGGGACGTTCGGGGACGTCTACAGTGATGTGTATGTTTGTGCTTTTGTTTTCTTTTTCTTTTCCTTACCATATCATTAGAGCTTAATTTAGAGCTTTATTTTTAGAGGAGTAATGTTAGAGGCCCCCAAAAGTTTTATCAAAATTTTTATCAAATGTCTCACATAGGTGTGGGACCTATATCATGTGAGTCTCATGTGGATCCCACACCCATGTGAGACATTTGATAAAAATTTTAAAATCTCTAACATTTTTATTTTTAGAGTTCTTTATCATTGCTCTTTTTAAATATAGTGAGTCCAACACATTCACGCAGAGTATGTGTACAAATATATGGAAGATGTAAATTAAATTTGGTGAGAAAAAATTATTTATGTTCAAAAATTGGTAAATAATTATGTTTTCTTCATTTTTTTGGTTGGGATATTTATGTTTGTTGATAAAAATTTGGTTTAAGTCAAATCGATAGTGATTGCAGACTTAAATAAATTTTAAATAAACATAAATAAAAATTAGGATTTGTGGTTAAGTTTTATGCCTTAAACAAATTAAAGATTTTCTTGAAGGTAATTAAATAAAAAAAGAAATAAAACAGAACAGAATATGTATTAATTGGAATAAATTGTCACTTGCCACCAATTACAAGAACTTGAGCAAGAACAAAAAATTAAATAAATATAACAATCAACAAAAGAAATAAGATTGGAAAAGCTAACACTATAATCTACTTCTAACAACTATTAAATTACTCCACTCCTGAATAAATGTTACGTTTTGTGAATGGTTGTTGATGAAATTCCGTCCTCACTGCACCTTCAGCTCTGATCTTCCTTGATTTTCTACCCTTCTGCATTTCTATCCCCGTCTGTTCCTTTGATTTTGATTTCTCTCTTGATTTTCTGCTGCCATCTTCCTTATCTCCTTTAAAAAGAATCCCTCAACAACTAACCTGTCACGTCAACAACCTATTGACAACGGAAAATTTCCAAATTTTAGCACCAACAATATCATTGCACCATCACCACACGTAGCCCTTTGTCACCTCTTCTTCTACATCGGCTTTGTAGGGGAGGTGTAATCGATTGTTAAGAGGGTAGGAGAGCTGTGGTAATTGATTTAAGAAGTAAAGGAAGGAAAAGGACAAGAAAGGAGTGGGGAAATGTGAGGAGTATTTTGGTAATTGAAACATTTTTCATCTTTTTGTAATTTTTTTGTTATTCCTCTCAGTTTGGTAATTATTTGACCAACAATACTTGAGACACCAAATTTTTTTATTAAAAACTCACTTGAGTGTGGGTCTCACATGAATGTGGGGTCCTACACCTATGTGAGTGATTTGATAAATTTTTTAGTAATTTTTTTTGTATCCCTATCATTTTTCTTATTTGACCCAAAGTTCATTTTTATGTAGTTTCATATAAAATAAAATGAAAAAATGTAAAACTTTATTTTAATATTTTACTTTAAAAAATTTAAGATTGAAAATTTAGGTTTGTGATTTTCAATTTTAAGCTAATCAAGTTATAAATAAATATAACCAAATGAAGGTTTGGTTTGGTTTGGCTTTTTATTTTATTTCTTTATTTCATGATTTACTTTGATAACAAATATTTAAAAGCTCTTAGTATTTTCATAGATATATTTTTTTACAGAAAACATAATTTTTTAATGTTTATTTTTATCAAATTAATTTCTATATGTTCTATTTTTTTTTTTTTTTTTTTTTTTCCAAAACTAGCTTTAGAAAATCAAACCAGTATGAGTTTAGGAAACATATACAATTATCCAAGCTCAAAAATGGATTTCAAGTCACCCCAAGACCCAAACCCACCGACCCAACAAAAACCCATTTTGTAAGATATACTTCAACGTCAAGTCACATAACAGCTGGCTTGTGTGTCCGTCACTCCTCTCCCCTAGTTTACAGACTTAAAACCTATTCCAAATTGGAAACAAAATCTTACACTATCTAAAACTCTACTATTTCCTAAAACCCTAAGACCGAGTCCTATAAATACATACATAGCTTTAAGAAACATTCACATCAATATTTTTTCATGAACACAAACAACAAACAATCTTGTGAAGATGGTATCGATGAAGAGGAAGCACGAGGAGTTCAAAATCAAGAAAAGTGTCTATGGCGATGGAAACAAGTGGTTCAGAGGGTCCATCATCGAAAAATCAAGCAGCGGACCGGTTTATTTGGCGACTTTGAAGAAACCCAAATGGAGACTCACCCACTTGCCCGTACTAATGGCTGTGAAGTCCGCAGAGGTTTCTGATTCGGCTTTGCTTCAGAGGGAAGCAATTGTTCTTAGCAACCTCCATGCTTGTCCCTATATCTATCGGTGCTTTGGGGAAGAGATTATGACCGGTGATCGCAATCGCATCATTTATAACCTTCTCTTGGAGTATGGCTCTGGCGGAACCCTAGCTGATTTGATTAAGAAAAGTGGCGGCGAAGGATTGCCTGAATCTGATGTTAGGCGCTATACAAGGCATATTCTTGAAGGTCTTGATTGTGTTCATAGCTGTGGGTATGTTCACCGTGCTCTAAAGCCTGAGAATATCATAATTGTTCCTATCATTACTGGCACTGGCACTGAATATGTTGCAAAGATTGGTGATTTTGGGTTGCAAAGAGAGCAAAACAGATGAGGAAGATGATGACGATGTCAAAGTCTTGTAAATTGAGAGGAAGTCTCGGGTATTCATCGCCAGAGACAGTGGTTGATAAAGGGCTACAACAAGAGTCTCCATCTGATGTCTGGGCTCTTGGGATGATTGTGTTTGAGATGTTAGCTGGGAAGTCTTTGTGGGATGGAAAACAAGATTCAGAAGTTGAGGACATTCTCTCTGAGATTGGTAAAGGGCATGGACTGCTCAAACTACCCAATCAGAGTGAGGTATCAGAGGAAGCAATGGACTTTTTGAAAGGTTGTTTTGCTGGAAAAGCTATGGATAGATTGACTACTCAGATGCTCTTGAATCACCCTTTTGCGGCTGGATTGGGCGAGGATAGCGAAGACGAGAGGAAGAATTATCAGTGGAGGATTCCGAGGAGAACAATTGCTCGACATCGTCGTCATTGTCATTGTCAGATTACGAGTCTGATGATTGGAACTTGAGGGTCAAGAAACCAAAGGTGGATGAAGAGGCAATTAGTGTTTGCTCGTTGTTGTCATACGAATACAATGCTGTGGATGATGATGAACACGGTTCTTCTTGCGTTTCATATGATTGGAGTTACATGCCATTGGAGACTGAGGAATTGCAGGAAGTCGATAGGCCATTGTCACTGTCAGTTTTGTATTAGGATGATGAACTAGTTCTTCTTCATGGGTGTGTGTAATCCACTATAAAATATGTCTGATAGGGTAGAAAATTTGTAGGACAACATTATTGCTATTTTGAAAAAATTAAATCAATTGACATTGGAATCCTATCATTTTATACTAAAATATTTAGCATTGTGGCTTATATATTTAAAAATGTGATTGTCACATTATTTTGATTGAGTTTTACAAGAAAAACAATGATAAATAATTTCTATTAACAATAGCAGTCACATGTGTATTTTAAAAATCAACTGTGCTGGGCACTCCAGTGCCACATGGCACCTTGTGAGAGTAAGACTTGAAAAAAAATAAAAAAAATTTTTTCCAAGCAATGAAAAAAAAAATTTCCAACCAATGAAAAAACAGTGGGGGTGCTGGAGGCCTCAGTCATTTTCCTTTAAAAATATAAATAACAAATATTTGTCCTCTATTTGCCTCAAATTTTATTTAAACACAAATAGCTATCACCTAATTTAGTTGACAGTAATGAATTGGATCTAGTGAAAGTTTGTGTTTATTTCAATGGCTTGGCATATCTATTGTACCAACTTATATTAATAGCCAAATTTCAACTTTACAATAAAAATACAATACAAGAAAACATCCACACAAATCCTCTGCTGACAAACAGAGGATAGTGGAAAACCTATATTGATTTTTGCCTCCTCTGAATTAACAGTAGTGTTAGAAATACAAAAACTAAAGACACAATTCTCTCACAATAAGTAAATTCCACATATAGGTTCCACCCTTTATGACAGTTCTGTCTTATTTTGTGTTTGGTTTCTATAGCAGTGGATGTACTCGTGAATTAAAGCCAACTGTTAGCTTCTGAACAGTAATGTGCTATTTTTTATGTTTAATGGCCTTTTTTGGCAAAAGCCACTAAGAATTTCCACCAACTTCATAGGATTGACATAGTAATGCAGCAATAACAAAATTTAAACAATTTCTATGTCCAAATTTCTTTCTCTCTGTTTTAATATATTTAGAATATAATTTACATCAGTAATGCCTAGATTTTGTCCCTTATGTTATTTTGGTTTTTATATTTTTAATTGACTCAATTTTGATCTTTAATTTTAAATTTTATATCAATTGATAAAGTCATTAAGGTTGTTGGCGGAAAATGATCTTTCTCTTCTAGCCTCCGGCCGTTGGATTTGCCGCCACCATTTCCACTGCCTTGGCTTGGGATTGAGGTTTTATTCTTTTCTGTTTCTGTATTTTTGTTGTTAGTTGTCTGATTGTGTAACTCAAAGTCCATTGGTGGTGATTTAAAGCTTATCCTCTCTGTGGTTGTAATCTATAATTTATCTCATACATGCTTTATGGCCGATCTCTTATGACCAGCTCTGCTTCGCAGTACAAGCACAAGCACGAGTTGTGCATCTAGATATTTTCATAGTTTTTATCATTTTGTTTCTTGTAATATTTTTACTTTGTTTGGTATAAGCGTTTTTGTTAAATGGACTCTTCTGTAAATGCCATTTGGCTTATCTTAATAGATTTTCTACTCATCAAAAAAAAAATAATAATAATAAATAATAAAAAGTTGGTTGAGGCTAACTCACTAAGTTGAGCAAATTTGTGATTTTGCTCCTAAAAGTATGACAGATATCGCTTATTTGTGTATTTTTCACAAGAAGATGCTAACCGTTAAAATTAACTTGATCAAATTGAGAGAAAATATAAATTCATGATAAAAATCGAACCAATTAGAATTATAAGGACCAAAACAATGACCAAAATATATGGATTATTAATATAATTTGCCTTGCTTTCAATTATTAGATCATCCATCTCACATAATTTAATGATTGAGAGTTCATTAGAACAAAGTAATTTAGAGATAAAATATTTTTCACCATTTCATCACATTAACTTGTAACATATTTGTTCCCAGGGACGGCGCTACATAGAGACATGCCCCCTCATTTTTTGAGAATTACACTTTTACCTCTAATTAGAAAAAGTTTTTCATTTAAGTCCCTTTTAAGTTTCAAATATGTTTCAAAATGTTTCTGTCTCATCTTTTATTTCTCTTTCTTTTTAATAAATTCCTTATAATTTATCATTATAAATGTTTAATTTTATCGAAATATTCTCTTATAATTATTTTCATCTTTCTCATTTCTCTCTTGTTTTTCTCTATATCTTTTTTTTGACTGAAGATCAAGTGTGTACCCAATCTTTCCCCTCCCAAATACAATCTTCTTTCTTTCTTTCTTTTTCTTTGTTTTTTTTTTATTTTTTTAATGCATGTTGTTACATTTTAAATTGTAATTATCATCATATTTAAAAAAGCAAATACAAAAAGCATCAGTTAATTAAAACATAAGGCACAAAATTTTGACATCACATTGATCTTTGGTTATTCTATCACCAAATGAAAAATGAATTTGGTTAAATTTTGTAATTGTTATCACTAGGATTCATGGTGCCCCCATGAATCAAAATCTTGACTCCGGCACTATTTGTTCCTCTCATGTAAATAGAAATGGTCAGAAAACATATTTTACTTTTTATCACTACATTGCAGCTATAACATCATTTTTTTTATATTTTTTATACTTCATTTTATTGATAAGGAAAAAAAAAAAGAAAGATTCTTAAAATAACAAGCAAGAACTGCAATCTTGTGAAGTGGATGAGCACAAAGTAGCATATTTTACCAAGTTTCTAAGAAGGTACCCAGTTTCTAAGAAAGTTTTGTGAAGTCATACATAGCCTTAGCTTGGCTGACTTCACTTGCAATTCAACTCCACAAGGCTTACTCGTCATCAGTTTTATAGGGGTGTCAAAAAATATCAGCCAAAACAAAAACAGATCTGAATTGGTCCAAATCGTAAGGTTTACTCCGGTTTTTTAGGGGAACGGTTTGGTTCCGATTCCAAAAAAATTAAGAATTATTGATTGCGGTTCAATTCAGTGATTAAGGCTTAAAAAGAACCAAAAAAAACCAAACCTAACTGTTTCATGTTTTTGTTAATTTTGTTAGTATAGAATGTTCCACAACGTGTTTGATCTTCTTCTTATTAACTACTTCAAACCTCAATGTCATAAAGACATCAATAAGAGATTTTTATTCATCCTATTTACCAAATACTTTCTCTATGTACAAAAATATGTGTGTAGTTTTTCAGTAATTATATAATTTTTAAACTTGTTATATTGTTTAAAAACGCATTTTTATGGTAATTACTGGAATTTGTTTTCCGTTTACAAATTTTATAAAGATTAGTTTGGACAAAATTCTAAAAATTTGAAATTTTTGGAATGCTTGTATTAGTAGAATTAATTATTATTGAACTACATAGTCTAACTATAGTGATAAATTTTCTAGCTTTTAATCATGGTTCTAAACTGGATCCAAATCACAGTTTGGTTTTAGTTCGATTCTAAAGGTTTCATAGTTTGACTTGATTCTTAAATTTCTAAAACAGTAAGAACTAGTTTGATTTTTGAACTATCAACAGGCAATTCTAAAGTTAGGATATTCAGGTTTTTGAAGGAAAAAATAGGTACTTAAAAGCTTAGGCTAAACATCTAGTTGAATAAATAAATGTGTTGCTAAGTGCAAAACTTGCAGTAACCACATAACCAAATGAATGAAATTTAATAATAACTTAAACCATAGTTTCAAAACATAAGTTTGGGAATCCGTGCTATCCAATCAAAGCCAATATGTATTTGGGTGGTGATGTGTCAATTCATGAAAGATATTATTTAGTTGAGTTTTTAAGATCTGTTTATTGAAAAAAAAAAAAAAATTTAATGTAGTTTGATGATTTTTTTATTATTTTAAATAATCATTATCTTCATATAGTTCTTTTTTGGATGGAAATAATTTCTAAAATTCATAAATATATTTTTAGCTATTTATTTTTGTCCAAATAATTTTTAATATTTCGAAAAGAAAAAAAGAAAAAGAAAATAGAAGTTCTGGAACAATCAAACATTTGGTTGGTCTCTGCTTGTGCTCTGTTTGGCCTTCCAATAAAGCATCTTTCTTTGTGAGGGTTATGAACTTTCATATGTAAATCTTTTCGTAGAGCTCCTTCTAACAGAAAATTATAGAATATTCTTACAGTATTATGTATTTTTACTTCCTAACTAATTATCATTTATCATGTCTTCTCATATTTCTCAATTACTCAAGTCAATATCTTACCTGCACACTTTTTTTTTTGGCAAGTTTTTTCCCATCCCATTTCATTAAGTGTTGGTCATATGATACACATGTGTTTTAATAATTTATTTTGAAAACAAGTAACGCAATTATTTTTTTGAAAAAAAAAAGAAGGCCTTTTTTAAGGG